CGCCTGGCGAGAAGTGCTCATTTCCAGCTTGGACGCCGGAGACATAAACACGGCCGGCAAGTGTTCGGCCAGCAGTGGTGATTTTCAGCTTGGCCGCCGGGGACATAAACACGGTCGGCAAGTGTTTGGCCAGCAGTGGTGATTTTGAGCTTGGCCGCCGGGGACATAGACACGCCCGGCAAGTGTTTGGCCACAAGTGCTGATTTTCAGCTTGGCCGCCGGAGACATAAACACGGCCGGCAAGTGTTTGGCCAGTAGTGCTGGTTTTCAGCTTGGCCGCCGGAAACATAAACACGGCCGGCGAGTGTTTGGCCAGCAGTGGTGATTTTCAGCTTGGCCGCCGGGGACATAAACACGGTCGGCAAGTGTTTGGCCAGCAGTGGTGATTTTGAGCTTGGCCGCCGGGGACATAGACACGCCCGGCAAGTGTTTGGCCACAAGTGCTGATTTTCAGCTTGGCCGCCGGAGACATAAACACGGCCGGCAAGTGTTTGGCCAGTAGTGCTGGTTTTCAGCTTGGCCGCCGGAAACATAAACACGGCCGGCGAGTGTTTGGCCAGCAGTGCTGATTTTCAGCTTGGCCGCCGGAGACATAAACACGGCCGGCAAGTGTTTGGCCACCTGTGCTGATTTCCACCTTGGCCGCCGGAAACATAAACACGGCCGGCGAGTGTTTGGCCAGAAGTGCTGATTCTCAGCTTGGCCGCCGTGGACATAAACATGGCCGAAAAGTGTTCTGCCAATAGTGCTGATTTTCAGTTTCGCCGCAGGGACACCCATAATCTAAACTTTCATCGCGTTGACGAAACTTTGTTATAACGACGGGCAGCGAGAGAAGCATCACGAGCGAGTGGTTGGCAGAATATTAGTGCGTGCATCGCGCGAACACTGTTAGCGCAAGCAAACGATCACCGTTTTATTCAGTTTTTTTTTTCGTTAGACTTGAAAGCACTGTCGTGTGATATGTTCATTTGGAACATTATACTAGAAGTGGGAAAATATTGTGCCCGTCGTTGTTCTATGAAAATAAAATACGAAAGCAGCTCCGACGTCATCTTCGCGTTAACTATACCGCTCTGTCGCCGCGCGGCACTCTTAGTGAGAATGCCACATCCGCGATTTTTCGGTTACCGCTCCGCATATTTACTTCCCAACTGCACTCGAAGAAAAAAAAGTTGTAGTCGGGTGCATCGGGCACAGATGCTCCCCTTTCCTGGAAGACGCACCCACCGTTACCCAGCCAGTGTACCTGTATACCGACCATAAGCCCCCTTCTCTACCTTAAAAACCTATAGGTGTATCAATGCACTCAGCTTAGTAAACCGCCACGCTAGCCATGCACCCCGATCAGCTTGTGCTTGAATCGGATAAGATTGGATATTTCAGACTTTGTGTTTTGGAAGAGCCTAAACAAGACGTCTCTCATATATTGATTAAACTTAAGCTAGTCTCAGTAATGTTTCATATAGGTGCTAGGATACTGATTTCCTGAGCCAAGGAAAGCTAAAAGCTTCGGTTAAAACCGCAACGGAAATGTTTTAAATCGAGCCACACGTAAAAGAAAAAGAAAATGAACATCTCGACCTAGATGTGCAGAACGCTGGTTTTGTTGTTAACAACGTGATTGTTGGCGGGTGGTGGGCAACGCCGTGACGCTATTGACGCTATCGTGGTGATTGACGCCAGTGATGCTCGGCCGTACTACACAGTAAAAGTTTTTACACCTTTAAGGGTGTAAAATGGGTGTTGTAGCAACTTACACCCTCGGCTACACCTTTTTAACAACCTAAAACTAGGAATACAACCTCATAATTTTACCGAAAAAGGTGCTGTTTCGTGTTACACCCTACATTTAGTGAAGAATGTGAGAAGGGTGTAGAAGAGGGTGCTAAATAAATAATGTGAAATGGTTTTGGAAAGCTTATATATGGCTCTGTACATAATGTACAGGTAAGATTTCTGCTTGAAAAGCAACAGTTGTTAGCAGTCTAGTTTCTTATAATGTCAGTTGTAATTCATGCAAATAGCTGATAATTAAGTGCCTCTTTTGCATACAATTTTTATGTTTGAAAACAAAATTTTATATATGAGTTTATATTTAATTTTCTTACAAATCACTCCATGCTCAGAAATCGGAAAGTAGGGTGAAATGCTCTATACTAGCATTTTTTACAAATATTGATTGATGGAAGTGTACAGTAAGAAAATCAGTTAGTCTCGAGTTTATATCTGGCAACATGAAATCAAAATATTGTGAAAATGTTTGACAAATATTCATGACATGCTGCTAGAACCTGTCTCATGACCATGTCAACGCGAGTAAAATATTCATTTGAGAAGTTGGTGACATGCACAAAAACTCACACACATAAAGAGGCAAATCCCATAATAAACCAGGCCGAGACATCCCATAAAAAATGGCCTATGGTCGTCTATGGGAAATTCAATGGGAGGCTATCACCCCCTGTAGCTTCGCATGGTCGGCCTTAAAAATTTATAGATACAGCTACAGCCAGCTATAGAAAAGTTTAGGGCCCTGTGTCTAAAGTCTCAGGGCTATGTTTCAATAACAACAACAACAACAATAATAATAATAATAATCAATAAGTTAGTGTTTTAACAGTGTCCAGGGACATCCAATTGTTCTTGCGGGCGCAGTGCAATAGAACGAACAAACAGACGCTTGCGCGCTCGCAGTCGCACACATACACGCGCACTCGCAGTCGCACACATACACGCGCGCACGCACGTACACACGCATGCACACGCGCAAACCCACGCCCGCGCGCAGACGCACACGCACGCACAACCGGAAACGCACACGCGCATGCACGTGGACGCATCCACACGCGTGCGCACAAACACACGCACGCGCCTGCACACACGCACACGCAAACAATTACGACGAAGGAAGCGTTGCTTGAGTTAGTTTCGGTTTCGGTTTACACAAAAAAGAAAAAACCTAAAGTTTAAATAAAACCTAAGATTTACTCACTTTTTGTAATGTTTTACATTATTATTTTAATGAAATTCTTATTGTTACTAATATAATTTACTTTGCTTAGTATAGTTCTAAAAAAATAGCAATAAATAAAAAGGAAAAGAGACTCTTGAAGACTGCGAAAGACCATCGCTATCGCAATCAGCCTCCGTTGGGCTCGTTTGAATGGTCGTTGAAATTCCAGAAGCTTCGGAAATCTCCTTTTTTTACGTTTTAGCCGTTTTAGTGGATATTTTAAATATCTTCCTTACGAATACCGTGTTCAAGAATAACAATCGATGACTGAGAGCTGGGAGACGCTGCGTCTTGGCAACGCCCGTAAGTTCAGAACCGCCCATGCACGGCTCGTGCAAACGCCGGTTAGCAACTTTCTTTTGTTTCTGCGAAGTGGGCTGCTGTTTCAAACTTTGTCGTGTACCGTGTGCTTGCTAAGCTATGCTTGATTCTAACTATGCTTCTGCCCTGTGTTATTTCGTTATTTGAAAAGGGCGTATCTTCTTCAAAACCTGTGGCTCGCTCCGCAGTGTGAGAAAGATTCCCGCGCGGCGGAACCTTGAGCATGTTCTTTGCGCCGTTGTGCGGCGCTCGTCCGACGACGCTTGTGCGGAGCGTTCAAGTGCCGTCTGACGGCAGTTCAAGCATTCAGTCGCCGTCCCAAAGTGTTAATCACAGGTCATGCTAGTTCTGACATCTTGTCCTAACAGCCGCTCGCCACCGATTTGTTTCATAAAGCGGGAGCGAGAAAAACGTTAGAAGAGCGAGCATGCAGCATGATTTTTTGCATAAGCTAATGCCTGTGCGTAGAGACGCGCGGTCGCTTCGTCATTATTCCGAGGGTAAAAGCGCTAAAAACAGCGGACAAACAACGCCCTGTGTTGTTTGTTTCTTTTACTTGTCCGTTGTTTTTAGCGGTTTCACCCTCGGAAATTAGGTCTCTTCGCGTTTACCGAACCGGCACACTTTTTAAGTTTACGATTGTGTGATGCAAAAAATGAAAGGAGTTTATATGTCACGTTTTTTAGTAGTGGCGAAAGCCCTTACGAAAATCAGAGCAGCTAGAAAAACAAAAACATGAAAAAAGGCGGAAAAAATTAAAGGGGCTCTCCGGAGCTTTCTGTGATCGTCTGTTTATGTTGTTATATTGCATAGTAGGTGCAAGTTAATATGTATACAAAGTTTTAGATTACAAAACCGTTTATTAAGCAGGTGGCAGAAGAAATATATCGGGACTATTTTCTCTTGGAAGACGATCCCCCATTCCCTGCCCATCGCTAAAACTTGACCAATGGAAATGCTGCATCTCGCGGTGAATGCGAACGTTATTATTGCAACACTTTTTAAGCTTGTTGTAAATTAGAGTTTGAGAAAAACGTAAACTGATTGTGGTGCGGGAAACATAGTCCGCAATTATCGCTCAATACCAGCGAACTATGTTTTCTCCCCGCAAGCTTGTTGCTAGTGGGCGATGCGTCGGCGCGTCGGCTCGTCTGCTTCCCGGGGCGTCTGCAGGCGTGCGTTTGCGGGACACATGTTCCTCCTTTCCGTGGATCCCGACTCCGAAGCCAGCTTTGCGATCCTTCCACGTCAACGAGTCAAACTTTTCCTTGTCATCTGTGGAATGCGACTGCGTATTGCAGTAGCAGCAGCCGGATGCAGCTCTGAGGTTCCGCGGGTGGCCAAAGTGTGGCGCCACAAAAGGTTTCGTACGTCTATTCGTAAGTCTTGGTAGATCCATTCATTCGTTCCAACCCAGACGTGGTTCTCAGTCTCACCGCTGCAGTTTTGAGCGTCGTGTCGGGTAAGTTATCTTCACCACCATATAATATCAGCCTGCGCGCTTTCAGCCAATCATGGGCGTTCAGGGAGAGATCCGTTATCGACCGTTATTTTTGTTTGATCTTCCGGAGCGCGTGCGGGCGAGCGGTGTGCGTGCGACGTGCGCGAAACCGAAACGCTCGAGCGCAACCGAGACCTTTGGCGGTGCGCGTCTGCGCGTTAGATGTTTCTTTCAACAAGTTCGGCGGGATGGCTGCTGTGTATGGACACTACTGTGCAGCAAAGTGGTGCCGGAACACGACGAAAACCGCCGACTGCAGTTTTTTCCGTTTTGCGACGGACGACAGGTGAGACTAGAAACTTCGTACACGCGATACTGAAAGAGGTGAAAGCGTTAACTTATGCGCGCTACTTTTCTTCTTTTCTATTTTCTTTTTCAAATAGAGCCAGTAAATGGATACACTACTCAAATCGCCCAGAATTCAAGTTGTTGCCTCTGAGCAAACTCCGCGAGCGTCGTCTCTGCGGCGAACATTTCGCCGCTTCTGCCTTCAGAAGTTCAAGGAGGACACGACTCCGAGATAATGCGTGCCCATCTGTCCTAGTGACAAATCCATTATTGAAGGCCCTCGTCTCTCCAGGTGAGCCGGTTTCAAAATGTTTAATTAGTGTTTGTATAGGTATAAGAGCAATTTTCTTCCATTTAAAATTACGTGCGATATCACGTACCTTTTTGAGATATGAGCCCCTAGTTGGCCAAAATAGCATTGCTGCACAAAGCTGAGACTATCAAAGCGTAACTGAGGAGGTATATCTGCAATACGCTTAAAGGCTTGCGACGCCCACATGAGAGTAGGCAGCATTAACGGGCCGATATTGCGCCAAATGATAATTATAAGGACCGCTAAAATTTACAAGCTGTAATCCTACTTTCTATCTATTTTAGAGTTCCTCGCTCCTGGCATTCGCCTAACTGGTGCGTCCACCGCCTCCACTTTAGGTAAGTAAAATGCATTGTTAATAGTAGCTGCATCTCCTTGAAAATATTATCGAATCTTTTGTTTGCATACTCTTAATGTAGGAAGGTGTGGAATATTCAGTCTAACTTTTTAATTAATCGGCCATCGTTGCTGAAGTGTAATTATTGGGCAGTTCATATATTAATATATTTATTAAACATTGCTTACATTATTTATTACAGATTCACCTGCAGCCCCAGTTGAGCCAGGACCATCACACAGCAAAGACCAAGGGCTGGAAGACCAAGGGCTGGAAGACCCCACCACATGTAAGGATGGCTTAAAGTGACTTTTAATTTGCTTTTTATGCGAATAGAAATCACAAACTATTCTGCTTATCCTAATATCTACTGCAGGTGTTCCTGATCAGGCTCTGACTGACTCTTATGCACAGGAAGAGCTCCGGCCCCTGCCTGGTAAAAAAGAAATTTATTACCCTTAATTGGCGATGGTTGCTCAATTTTGTTTCATGAGGTGGTTGTGAGTTGTGAACTATTGATCAAACATTCCACTCGATATAATTCACATATGCTCCTGCAACTCACAAGAGACAGGGCCATCTTCACTGCTGCGCCAGCTGTGAGGAAATGCATAGCAGAAAGACACTATCATAAACACGCTTCTAATATTTATAATTTCCTCCATATGCTTATGGAAGTCACAAATGTTGTTTCTCATTCCAATATTTATTCCAGATGTTCCTGCACAATCATCAACACAATCTTTCGATGCAGGTGAAGAAAAGCGTCCCTGCTCTGGTGAGAAGCAACTTAGTTTGATGAATTGGCAATCAATGCTCGATTATATTGTAATATGTAATCTTGTATCATACAATATGTGTCAGACATTGCTCAATATTTTCACAGGTACAGCTGCAGTCCCAGGTGATATGGGGACATTCCACGCAGAAACCCAGGAAAAGGAACCAGCCAAATGTAAGCAATTAATTACAGATTTTTCTCACACTTTTTTTTCTGTGCTTCAGGCACCAAATAATCTTCCTCAATCCTATATTAATTTCAGATGTTTGTGTGCAAACTACAGAAAACTCTACTGCACAAGAAAAGCCACAACTGCAAGCTGGTGAGAAGCAAATTGCAATAAGAATAACTGGGAATTAGTGCTGACTTGCATTTATTTAAGGGCATTATGACTACAAATTAATAATTTTGGACTGCATGATTATAGCTTACCTACTGTACATGCCAAGGCCAAATTTCAAGTAACGATTGGAGCTTTGGCCAGGATTTGGTCTTTCTCCTGCTCCAGCACGCAGCAGCAAAAGAAACACTTTTGCAGTCTGGCAGATAAGGGGGACTAATGACATTTACATTTTTAAACATGGTGGGATTGTCAAATGGGTGGACCGGAGCACCTCGTGGTCATATATTATTTTTAATGCAAAATAAATCCCAGTGCCGTACTGTCTGTAAGACTGTACACCACTAATGCAGTAGGAGCTCTGCTTTAAGCGCAGACTTGCCACCCTTGATGACACAAAGATTCATGTGCAGCCAAAGTGTGACTGGTGACAACAAGTGTGTGCTGGAGGCGGAGATTCTACCGCATTGTTATCCTGTCACAGACTGTTATCACCAGTTTTTATTTTTCTCTGTTATCACTCTTTTATTGATAGGAAAATGGACAACACTGATAAAAAAATTGCACTCAATATCTTTCGCATGTGACCTGCGACCCAAGAGGAGGCAGGGCCATTTTCACAGCAGCACCTGCTGCAAAGGATATGCACAGCAGGATGGACCCACCACAAACAAACTTCTGATATTTATAGCTACTTTGTGAACGTAAATAATTCCCAATGCTATCTTACTTATTTCAATATTCATTTCAGATGTTCCTGCAGAGCCCACACCAGACCTCAATCACGCACAACAAGAACAGCAAACTCAACCTGGTACGATTTAAGGCCTCAACTTTCAACATTGAGATAATCTTTTTATCAGTTGCATTTTAGGACATCTTGATGTGTTTTTTTTTCAAATTTGACTCTCTCTAACAGCTCCCCACCAACAAGCTGACACGGAAGGCGTGGCCTCAAGTACGGCTCCAGCTGGCCACAGTACACCCCAAGTAAGGCAAGGTGGCAGGCCAAAGAAGCGGTACACGCCCCGCACACAGGGCACATTAATTCACCTAAGGAAAACAAGAGATCGACTGCGGAGGAGTCTTTTCAAAGCCACAAAAAAGACGGACTTCTCTGACCTAACGAGGACTCAGGTTATTCAGGGTGCTTCTAAATTCCTTTCGAAAGAGGCTCTTGAAATTTTCAAAATTCAAATGCACCTGCAGCCAATGCACAAGTTTGGGCGAAGGTGGCCTGATGAGTTCAAGCCTTTCGCACTAAACCTTTACTTTCACAGCCCCAGGGCTTACAAGTACCTCGCCAGATTTATGAGCTTGCCGTCAGTCAGGTCCCTCAAGAACTGGCTGTCTCGCATTGCCATGCACCCAGGGGTCGTTCCAACCCTCATTGAATCTGTCATAAACAAAATTCAGGATTGGCCTCTAAAAGATCGAGCTTGTATCCTTATGTTTGACGAAATTTCTCTCAAGCAAAATCTCTTCTACGAGACAAAATCTGACCTTGTGCATGGTTTTGCAGACAGTGGTAAAGAGAGAACTGCTGACGTGGCAAACTCTGGTCTAGTTGTCATGCTGGGAGGTATTTCTAAGCCCTGGGTGCAGCCATTGGCATTCACTCTTTCGAAAACAAAAGCCTCGGCAAATTGCCTGAAAGATTTGCTGACCGACATCATTGAAAGGTTGAGTGCGGGAGGAATCTTCGTGAAGGCCATCGTGTGCGACCAGGGGGCCAGCAACTGCACTCTCGCAGGCTTGCTGGGTGTCACAGTAGATCATCCTTTCTTTTCTGTGAGTGGCACCCAAGTGTACTTCCTTTTCGACACCCCTCACCTTCTAAAGTGTACACGAAACAACCTGCGGAAGCACGACCTCAAAATTGGAAACCAAATTATCAGATGGAAATACATTGTTGACCTTTACAAAAACAAGCACCCCTTGCGGCTACGAATGGCAAAAGAATTAACTGACCGGCATGTTTATCAGACCCCATTCGGAAACATGAAGGTAAAATTTGCTGCGCAGGTTTTTAGTGACACAGTTTCCCTTGCTCTTGCCACCCTCATCTCCCTGCATGAGCTGCCCCCCGAAGCCCAGGCCACATGCGACTTCTTAGAACAAATGGATAAAATTTTTGATTCGCTGAACAGCTCAAACACGAAAGCTGAAAAACGCAAACTGAGGTTTGCTCTAAATTCCACATCCGGCCACATTCATTTTCTTCGCACAAAAAGCACCTGGATCTCGCAATGGCAGTTTCAGTCGCCACGACGGCCTCACACAGTGAAAGGATGGCAGATTACCATCAATGCCATCCTTTCACTGTGGGAAGATCTGAGCCAAAACTTCGGGTTTGAACACCTTTTGACTAGACGACTGAACCAGGATCCGCTGGAGAACATGTTCGGCATGATCAGACAGCAGCATGGATGCAATGAGACGCCCAATTCATTTCAGTTTGTGGAAGGCCTGAAGCACATTTTCCTCGGAAAGATGTTTCAGCTTTCCAGTAGAGGAAACTGTGAATCAGGCACTTCCGCACTACTAGTCGAATTGAGGCGTCTCCCTGCATCCACTGCAGCCAGCCACCAGCCAGAACCATTACTTGTCATTGACAGTGGCGAACTTGAATTGCCCCCTGATGAGCCAAATTTTAGCATTGTAGAAGAAAATGTCCTTTATCACTTTGCCGGATACCTGGTTCAGTCGTTCCTGCAGAAAAGCTCGTGCCAGCTTTGCCCAAACTTTTTGAAGGCTTCAAGTGAAAACCTCTCATCAGAAATTCAATTTCATTCTTTGCTTGAGGCAAACGTGCCAGGCTCGTTATTCGGTTCATTCTCCACTCCTTCTAATTCGTTCTTCGATTATTTCAAGGCTCTTGAACACCTTTTTTTAAAGCACATTCAGGACCACATTCACATGACAAAGGTTGTCGAGCGCCTTGTGCATGTCCTGGAGTCCCATTTGGAACATCAATTTTGCTCCAGGGCATGCACAGTGCACTTCCTCCGTCTCTACGTGAATGTGCGCTTGCGCTGGCACATTCGAGACATAAATCGAGAGCTTCTCAAGCTTCACGCCCCTAAAAAACCCGAACAAAGGAAACGTAAACAATTATCGGCTTAATCGCCCTTTCTTTTTTTCTTTTCCTACGGGAATTTGGTTACGGCTTGTTTTCATCTTGCTCGAGGTGTGAATTTTTTTATTGGGTGTGTGCAACCTGCATGGTTTGTATATTAATTACTTAAAATCCTGTAGATACTTCCCTGCATATTTTATATGATCCTTTTAAGGTTGCTTATTCATTGAAACACATGCATTGTATATATATAAAAAAAAAAAACTTTCAAATGCTTTGCACTGGAGTTTTAGAATCCTTTTTCGTGAGTCATTTATAACGTCTTGTAAATGTTTTATTGAATGTCGTGGGTTACAGCTTAAATAAATTAGATGTGCTATTTGTGAAAACTGCTTGTTTAAGACTTATGCAGCAATTTAGTAAATGTGTAAAATATGTAAATAATAATGGAAAGATGGCGAGATGTCAGTGAACGCAATTATTTGTGTATGATGTAACATGTTACATGTTTATGTATCTGTGCTCTTCATCTTACCATAAAGGTGATTTATTCATTGTTTATGTATTCCTGTACATTTCCTCTCAATTCTGTAAATACCTGGGAATTCTTAAAACGTGAAATAAGTTCAAATAAAATGCGTCTGATCCAATCTTCCGGTTTTATGACGTTTCCTTGGCGAGGCTGTGTGCTTGTTGTTAGGCATCGATAAAAATACAGCAAACACAGATGTCCGCATCAAGCGATGCTCTAAACAGGCGCACGCTCGCGCGCCGTACGCTAAATCTCAACACGCATCACCACCCATCATCGCACACGCACGCGCGATAAACACGCAGAAGAATGGATAGTTGAGCGAGTTGGGAATTCATCGTAGGAGACAGCGCGAAAAACAGACGGGGACGAAGTCCCTCGTCTGACTTTCGCGCTGTGTCCTACAATAAAACACACGCATGCAAAAAAAAAAAAAAACGACCGAGAAAAAGAAAAAAAAAAACAGGAGAGGGGGGACGACAAAAGGGGAGAGAGGTGAGAAGGCTGATGATGGTGATAGCTGTTCGCTTTAGTGGCGCCGTGGCGCCATCTGCAAGTTATTTACAACCCAGACCTAGTTCGCGAGGCTGCCGCAGCGCCAAGCGGCGCTAGTTTCGCCGTACCATGGTGGAAGCTACGGCTGCACCCGGCTGGTAGCAGCGCGACGGTGCGGTGCGATGAACGACGACTGCCGAGCACAAAGTCCGGGCCCCTTGACGACGGTCCGCGCGTGTTCAAGAGATTCCTCCGCGGGTCGGCGGTCGGCCGCGTTGGTGACGCGCAGTGACGCCGGAATCCTTCGCTTGCTATTGGCTGACGCGTAAAGAGATGCCCCTCCCGTTTTCCGGGCTCATCTCAGAAAGGGGGGCGTGCCGTGGACTTTGATAGCAATTTTAGTAGAGAAATCCGCCGCGCATGACCGTAATTTTATGATTTTTAGGATCCTTAGGGCCTGTAGATTGAGTTACCGCCATAAATAGATCATCGCATAACGATCCGGAGGGCCCCTTTAACTAATGTCAAACCTGAATATTTGATGGAGTTCTCGCCCGGTTATTCTTTCTGTCAAAGAATAATAGCCAATAGTAATAAACAAATAAATGCCAACTATTAATTGGTTACAAAGACGTAATTGGTGCAGTGCAGCCCTACGCTACTCTACTCTTTTGATGATATCAGGTAATGTGTAAATGTATAGGGCAGTTCATAGCAACCATTTATGTCCGACCCATTTTATTGAGTTTTTCCTTTATATAAAAGTTATATGAAAAAAAGTGCTCTTCCTAAATTAAGCCGCACCACTGAATGTACAATAGCGTGTAACGTTTATATATGTTCTCAGCGAAAGAAAAGGATGCATTAAAAAAAGCCAATCATTTTGTTTCCTCTCTGTTAGAGCTTCTTTCACGTACACGCAAAATGTGGGTGTCTACGTCTAAAAGAGTGGAATTGACATTTCCTGCAGGGCTGGAAGGCCTGACTCAGTTTGGCTAGCAGCTTGAAACCTATGGGAACCTGGGGAACTGAACCACAAGAGTGGGAGTGACAACCGCCTTGCACTTCTTGAGCGATGGCACCATGAGGAAGGGGGAGCTGCCCTAAAGTAAATGCAATAGCAGATGGGTCGTTCCAGTGAACCCCTATACAGATGATACCAAGCAGAAATTTATTAATAAATGTGTTATTAAAAACATGGAATGTGAATGGCACGGACAAGAAGGAGGAGATCAACACAGCGCTGTGTTGTGTTCAGATCCTCTGTTCCCATATTCTTCATGATTTCTTTTCAATAATTGGCTACTAACTAGTCCAATCATCACCACTAGTCAATAAAAGTATGCTGCTATTTATTACTATGCATTAACACTGTGCTTGCAGTTGAATCGTACAGTCATTTATTAATGGTCAAAAACAAAAAGGAGGGTGCAAGCTAGCTAAACAGGCTAAACACATAATTTATTAAAGACGGGTTCTCTGAAGGATTACACAAACGCAGAGAAGTATCAAACACAGCTGAGTATTAATGGGCAAAAAATGAATAGGCGACCCAAAAAAGAAAACGCAGGAGAAGACATGAAGTCAGTTTTTACAATTCCTCTTCCGCTTGCCACCACTTTACAAAGGGAATTCCTTCCTGGGCCTTACAATGTTTTACTGTTCACAACCCCTGACATACCCAAGGACAGTAAACATAAAAAAGCAA